GCAGAGTGGTTTGAGCAGCCCCAGCAGTTGGATACAGGTAAGTCTGTGGGGGGAAGAGGTTGGAGGACCAGGGCTTGGGGACTGGATGGGAAGGAGAATGTGCAGGTGTATGTGTGGCAGGGTGTGTGGAGGGGATGGGTGCCTGGCAGGGCTGGGGGAAACTGTCCAGACACCAGCGCTAAAGCAGGGCAGGGGAGGTGGTGGGGAGGCACCCAACTCTCCAGCAGGGAAGGTGGGGGACCTTTGGGAGCAGCGTGGAGCTGTGTGGCCTGGCCAGTGGCACCAGGGCCAGTGTCCTTGCTCATAGGGACAGGGCAGCCAAGAGATGTGACAGGGCTGCGGGGAGCAGGGGGATGTGGGTTGGAAGTGAAGGGCCCTGGCAAGGCTGGGAGGGCTGTGGCTCGGGAGTAAGGGGAACAAGAGGAGGCAGGGGACACTGTGTTGAGAGTGCAGAGAACTGGCAGTGCCGGGGAGCTGTGGATTGGGAGTGAGGGGCACCAGCAGGGCTGGGGGTATTGTGGCTTAGGAGTGAGAGGAACTGGGGTGGGGGGCAGGGGACTGAGAGTCAGGAGTGTGGGGCACTGGCAATGCCAGGGGGCTGTGCGTCAGGAGTAAAGAACACCAGAATGGCCCTGGGGGACAGTGTACTGCAGGTCGGGAGTGAGGGGCAGCAGCAGGGCTGGTTGGAGGGCTGTGGCTTGGGAGTGAGGGCCAACAGAATAGGCAAGAGCAGCGCACCAGCATATCACTGCCCCCTGCCTTCCCCCCCCAATCACACGTGACAGGTGTCCTCTTTTTTGGAACTGGAAATACAGTAACCCTAGGCTAGATGGCCTCTGGAAGTCCCTTCCAGCCCTACTTCTCTCCAATGCTATGATTCTATGCTTGAGAGCTCCACTGCTGAGGTAAGTGTACAGTGTAGTCATAACTACAGATCCCTGAAGCTGGATTTAGGCACCCAATTTCCCCCAAAGTCTAAAATTGCAACCTTGAAAGTTCTGTTTAGGCATGTCTAGAGTGAAGGGACAGCTAAACTCCATAAGCTCCTCAGGTTTTGACGCAAGTTCCTTAAGTGCCTGAAGTTCTCGAACAGCTGAACAGGGCTGAACAGCTCACTTTTATGCCCAATCAGGATTCTGTACATAGGTAGTCCCTCCCTCACTGTGTCCTCAGGTCTTGATCTGGGAGGTGTTTTTCAAAGTATAACTAACAGATTGGGCTCTGCACACAGTGTCACAATGCCCACCACTTACTTTTAAAATAGAGCTGTGGGTGCAGGTGCTCCCCCTGCTACTCCTTATCCAACAGCTCTGTGGTCAGAGCTCTCACCCAGGATGTGGGAAACCAGTGTTTGGTTCCCTTGTGTGTCTTAGCAAATACAAACACCTGTCTGTCTCACTCTCAGAGTGCTCTAACTGCTGGGCTGCAGGCTACTCTAGATGGAGAAGCTAGTCCACTGGGCAGAAGAAAATTCAAGTTTCTTTAGACAACAACAATAAGAGCAAGCAGAAGCCTAACTATAGCATAATGCTTCTGGGATTAATTGTGGGGTTGAGGGGACCTGGGTTCTGGTCCTTACTGCAAGACTTTACAACCTTTTTACAAGCAACAGTCATTGGAGGAAATGAATAAACTGTTTAAGTCAAGAAGAGCACAGCTGTATCTAATAAAATAATGGAAATGATTTAAAGTCCTTTTACTCTGATTCCACTAACATCACTGTCATGGGTGAGAGCAACTTTACCTGAGGCTATAAAGCACCTTTCCATCAGGCTGGACCCGCAGCATGACATTATCAGTCGTGGTATCATGGATAAAGGAGCGCTTGGAATGTACAAAGAACATGTCAGGGACCCAGATCTTTTTCACTAGTCTGCCATCAAATGTCATGCTTTGATTGTTGGTACTTGGGAAGGACAGTCTTTCATCTTTCCAGTAGTGCCTGAGATACAGGGTCATAGTAAAGTCCTGAAAGAAAAAGGTTTCACATTATGATTTATTCTTTGGGAAGAGCATTTCACAGCAATTAACTGTGTAAACAAGTATATAGATATGTATGCACCAGTTTCAGTTGGAATAGCAATTTTCAGGAGTTCCTTCTACATGTTAAGCACTACATCTTCTCCCACTGATGTTACTCCCATTCATAGTTTCTAGGGTCGGAAGAGACCTGAGTAGATC